TTGATATTTGTTTCTCTAAGAATTTCTAAATAATTAAAATAATTTATTTTGAATTAATATAATAATGATAAATTCTTATAATTTAATTTAAAGATTTATTTTTCCTTAAAAAATTAAAATAATTTATTTTGAATTAATGTAGCAACGGTAAATTCTCATAATTTAATTTTAAAAATATTTTTTAGAAAGAAATAACATTATTTAAAACACAAGTATAAAAAAAAGATGGGGTATATATTTTGCGGATAAAAAGAAAAAAAAATTTTATGGTTTAAAACACAAGTATAAAAAAAAGATGGGTATATGTTTTGCGGATAAAAAGAAAAAAAAATTGTATGGAATGATTATTTTTTAAAATATTTTTTATTTGAAAATATATTGAAGGAATAATTTTTTTATTAAACTTTTTAAATATTTGTAATATTAATATATTTCAAGTAAAGAAAAAAAATTAAAAAAATTAATTTTTTTAAAAACATTTTTTTTCGAAATATAAAATCATGCCGACTTAAAATAAAACAGGAGAGCCTCTTCTTCCTCTTCTGTTGATCTCTCTCTTTCTCTCTGTGCTTATCAAAACGGAAAAATGGATACTCCTGGGAACTTGAAGACATCAAGCTCCGAATTAGACCTGGATCGTCCCAACATCGAAGATTACCTTCCTTCCGGATCCTCCATTCAGGAGCCTATTGGCAAGCTTCGCTTGTATGAATTCTATCTCATATCTTTCGATTCGGGTTCTGTTTTCGGATACTCTTTGATTTCAAGCTCTGTTTTTTTAGTTCTTTCAGAGCTTTAAAAATTCGATTCTCAATGGGTATTGCTTGATGGGCTTTCTTGTTTTTGTCTAGGCGTGATTTGCTTGATATTTCACCTACTCTCACAGAAGCAGCTGGTGCCATTGTTGATGTGAGTTTTGTTGGAATTTTTTTCCTTTTTTTAAAATACGTGAAGGAAAATGTTTTTTGAATGAAAATAAAGGAACTTTATGTGAATTCTGGATGAATTAGTCTTAATCATGATAAATTCGAGCTTAAACAAGTATTTTAGGCATGCGCTGGGATGGCTAGCTTGTTTAAAATTTCTTTTTTTTTAGTATTATTGAATACTCTTTGACATGATGAGGGAACTGTGTATCGGATGGAAAGGGAGAATCTTGGGATAAATTAGATGAATAGTTTTGATCGTGATTAAAATTCTGAAGACTAAAGTAGGAATCTAGGCATGCAATGGTTAATTAACTTTAGCTAGTTGAAAATGACATGACTTTCTTGATTCAGTATCAGGGAAGTGAATTTAGTTTTTTTTTTTTCAATTTAATTTAATCTGTCTGGATTCAACTCGTATTTGAAAATGAATGAATCAGGACTCATTTACACGATGTTTCAAGTCAAATCCTCCAGAACCGTGGAACTGGAATGTGTATTTGTTTCCCCTTTGGTGCTGTGGTGTGGTGATTCGATATGGGATTTTGTTCCCTGTCAGGTTAGTTATTTGCTGATTATAAAGGGTGTTGTCCTACACTCAAAAAGGGTCATAAAGTGATTGGTCTCCATGCCAATTTAGATAATCTGGTTTCCTGATTTGATTCTTGACTTTGTGGAGTTTCAAGATGTCATAATGAAGATATGAACTGATGTTCTTTATCTGTTGGTTTTCTTTTTCAAAACTTTGTGGTTCCTATGAAGAGTCTGATTGATATGATGGTTTATCTTTGAACAAGTTGATACATTGGTGAACTTGTGTTCATTCTAGCTGGTTGATGTATTTCAATGAAATCTGCAGGGTTCTGGTACTGGCAATTGGGTGGATCATTTTTCTTTCATCCTACATTCCAGTGCATTTGCTGCTGAAAGGGCAAGACAAACTGAGAAAAAAGATTGAGGTGCCAATAATTAATTTGTCAAATCTTTTGCTCTATCCTATATATATATATATATATAGAACACAATTGTGAAAAGTTCGTTTTTTCTATATCTGAAAGTTCTAAATTTCTCTACAAGTGGTTGTTACAAACAGGCTGAATTTATTCCTAATGTTAATTTATTGTCAGAGGAGTTTGGTGGAGGTAATTTGTATGTTTTTTGTTGCATCATGGACTGGAGTTGTCAAGTACCATGGACCAAGACCTAGCAGGCGGCCTAAACAGGTTCGTTTCAGTATAAACATTTTGTTGTATGTATTTATGTCCAAGACATGTTTAATTCTTTGTTAACCCTTTGTTGATCTGAGATATAAACTTGCTTATCATGGGTTGCACAGGTTTTTGTGGCCAACCATACTTCCATGATTGATTTCATCATCTTAGAACAGATGACACCCTTTGCTGTGATCATGCAGAAACACCCTGGTTGGGTTGGTAAGTGAGAACTGGCTTCATATGTATTTCAGATATTCTATCCAATTAACAGTTACACCCTGAATTATATGTCTATCAACAAATATTGAAGGATTCCTGAATTATGTGTAACTGATAACATCCCATGAGTAATTTGTGCTTTAATTTTGAATGAAGAAATAGTGAAACCCCAGCTCTTATCCTAGTTATTTTGTTTTAAGTCCCTTCTGGTGTTTGCTCATAGATAGTAAGTAACGTGATGGACAAGCTGAAATGATTGTCACGTAGGCTGGCTTAGTGTATTTATTAAATTGAATGGATATATGATTGCTCTAAATGCAGGACTTTTGCAAAGCACTATATTAGAGAGTGTAGGATGTATCTGGTTCCATCGTTCAGAGGCAAAGGATCGTGAAATTGTAGCAAAGAAGTAAGTGTAAATTCTGTTGGTAAAATAATTGTTCATGAAAATGATCTTTGCATCATGATTATATGGAATTGTATTTTTCAGATTAAAGGATCACGTTCAGGGAGCTGATAATAACCCTCTTCTCATATTTCCTGAAGGAACTTGTGTAAATAACCACTACACTGTGATGTTTAAGAAGGTATGAATATTCAACATAAAACTTATTGTTTCTATAAGCTTGTTTCTTTAATTTCTATTGTTTGATGATATGCAGGGTGCGTTTGAGCTAGACTCTACTGTTTGTCCAATTGCAATCAAGTACAATAAAATTTTTGTTGATGCCTTTTGGAACAGCCGAAAGTATGAAGCTTTTCTTCTAATGATTGTATTATATTATCCCATTGAGTTCCTAGAGACTACGCATTTTTTCAAAATGTGAGGAGGTGGGGGTGTTTTTATGGTTGAGAAACATGCTTAAATATCTCATTTGCAGGCAGTCCTTCACAACGCATCTGCTGCAGCTGATGACATCCTGGGCTGTTGTTTGTGATGTATGGTACTTGGAGCCCCAAAATCTGAGACCTGGAGAGACTCCCATTGAGTTTGCAGAGAGGTAATTACTTTCTTCTGAGCTGCAAACAATGAGTGTTGGCTGTTTGCAAGGGCCCCTTTTTCCCAACTTTTTTCTATATTACAGTGACAAATGTGTTGTGTATTTCTTAATTATAAGTTTATCCAGTTCAATTTCAATGCATTTATGCAGGGTTAGAGGCATTATATCTGCGCGAGCAGGTCTGAAAAAAGTTCCTTGGGATGGATATCTGAAATATTCTCGCCCTAGCCCAAAACATAGAGAGCGCAAGTAAGCCAAACTCCCTTCACCGTCTTTCTTTTCCTTTCTGCTTTTGAAACACCCGATGATCACACTTTTTGACTCTGCTATTAGTTTTGTATATATGCATCACAATATGTTTATAACCTGCTTTAATTCTGTCCGGAAAAATAATTTCCAAGTACATATAACAGAAAGGATGATGCTCACCCGCCTCTGACAGTGTTATTCCAAGTTTCTCTTGGGGTTTGTATGAGCATCTTTTGCCAATAATATTCTTTATTTACCTGATTCTGCTGGCTGTACATGTCCGAGAATGGTTGATGACATGTAGCTCCTGATGACACATATCTTACTACTGTCATTAATCACTTAGTCCCATGGTTAAAAGTAAATATAATTGCTGAGTAGTTTCTGAAACTAAGAATTCTGTATAAATCTCTGATCTCATTCCCCCTTTTCATTTCAGGCAACAAAGATTTGCTGAGTCGGTACTACGGAGTCTGGAGGAGAAGTGATGTATATTCTTCTTTTCATTTGTTGTATTTATCCCAGAGATTGCTTCCCACGCGCCCGCTCCCATTTTATTGTTCACATGTAGAATTTGTTTTTTATCAACAGTTGTACTGTGGGTATCAGAGAGAAACAAACTTTTGAGGAAATTGCATGCTTATCACTTTCTAGGTTTCTCCCCAGAAAATGAGCCAAGATGTTGTGAAAATCTAGTCTTGTGCCTGGTTCAATTTTTCTGTCTTCAATTTTCATATTCATTTTTGTGCCTTCTATCTCCAATGGTCGTTCCGCTGTCTTCGGTTTTCAGCCATAGAACGTCCTTTGGAGTTTGGATGGACGGAACGTTCCATCTAAATCCAAAATTTCTGGCGGCTCAGGACTGAGTTCGGATTGTTTGATCGGTGTCACAATATCCAGTTAACCAATGATGTAATTCTGGAAAAAAAAATCAGTATTATCTACATCGATACGGTCTATAAAAAATACTACAGAAGTATTTCCTCTTTTGCACGTGATAAGAAAAAAACTTACGCGAAAATGCTGACCTGGAGTCAAGAGTGGACTCTTTGAACTAATGATAATGACTCTGTCCATCTAAGGATAGTATAAAACGAGCACGAGGATGGAAAAAACAGCCAGAAGTATTCAAATGTTCACATGCTTTTCTTCACCATATTATTATTAAATGCGGACCGCAAACGATTTGGAAAAAGATTACTCGGCTTATCTTCTACGCGGTGAAGAAATTTTGGAACTTTGGCGCGTGATTGCAGTAAAGGTCATCGAGCATTCAGCATCGTAGTGTTGTCCTGTCCACTATATTTTCCTTTTGTCAAACCCCCACCCAGAGAGGCAGTGGAGAACATAATCTGATCGCAATGGAAGTAAAGAACACAGCCAGCAACAGAGGCCGTTAAACTTCACCCGTCACTCCATAATCGAATATAAGAGCCCCGTCTTTTTGGCTGCAGTTTAAGCTATAAAAACCAGGCATAAGAAAAGTAAGGCTCTAAGGCTCTGCCACATCTTTCTAGCCATCCAAGTACTCTTGATTACAGTCTTGTCATCCTATTGGCCCTACATAGAATTACAGCTCGAGGAAAGCCGACATCTCTCCGTTTGAACACACTGCAAAACTTCTCTTGCCGTTTCCAAGGTAAAACTCTGGAAGTTGGGCAGGTCAAAGTCTCCTCCAAGTTGTCCAAGTCAATAGTGAAATAAAAAAAAGCCTAACTTTTCCCAGAAAACCAGTCCTTTCGTTCTCACCTCTTAAATTCCTGCCCACATTTGAATTTATATATAGCAAACAAGCACGACACACCTCCACCAATTGCTACCTTGAACATTTAGACAAAATGGGATTTGCTATAATTCCAATGTGTCTGCTCTTCTACTCTTCTTTCACCACCATATCAGTAGCCCAGCAAGCATTCAGGTGCACAGAACGAACCACATGTCGTTCTTTGGTTGGTTACAAGTCCCCTAACACGACCTCCATCTCCTCCATCCAGAAACTCTTTGGTGTCAAAAACCTACACACTCTTCTAGGAGCAAACAACCTTCCTCCTTCAACCTTACCAAACCACATGATCCAAGAGCAGCAAGTAATAAAAATCCCAATCCCATGCATATGTTTTAATGGGACAGGTGCCTCAAACAGGATGCCCATTTACACAGTCCAACCAGATGATGGGCTGTATTATATTGCAAACAATGTCTTCATGGGCTTGCTTACATACCAAAGAATCCAACAAGTTAATAGGATAGGAAACGCTGATGTGATCGAGGTGGGTCAGGAGCTCTGGATCCCACTTTCATGTAGCTGTGAGGAAGTGGATGGCGAGAGAGTTGTACATTATGCACACTTGGTGGAAGAAGGGAGCACCGTGGAAGAGATCGCAGAAAAGTTCGGGACAACTAGTGACACACTGTATAGGCTTAATGGGATTGCTAATGACAGTCAACTCATCGCAGCAACTGCATTTGATGTTCCTCTTAAAGGTTAGTAATTAACCTCTTCTTCTTTAATTCTATGAAAGTTGTAGACTTTTTCGAAGTTTTTGCTAGTTGTTGCCTTTTGTTTTACTAGTTTGGTTCTGTGGTTTCGTTTGATTTGGTCACGTGGAAAAAGTAAACTTTACCATTTTTTCTGGACAAAGACTCTTCCAATTTAGAATAGGTTCTTTCAACTTTTGGTAATTCCACATGAATTTTTTATTCGATATAAGAACTAACGGAGGTGGATTCGGAATAAGTCATGGATGGGGTTGATTAACTAGTGAATTAACAAATCAATTTAATTTTTTTTTATATATATATATTTTAAATTTATGACTTGTTTTGATAAAAAATAAATTGATTTAAAATAAAATCTTACCTAAATCATTGAATTGACCATATTTTATAATTATATTTTTTCATATAATACACAAAAATGTTACTATGTGCATATACAAACAAGATAATTGAAAATAAACAATTGTAAATCATTATCATCTAACTAAAGAATTTAATTAGTGTAAGCTACATGCTCATGAGTCACATTTGTATATTTTTTATCTTTAGAATGTCATTAGGTACCAAATATATTTTCTCCTTTCATATTATTTAATAAGATTACAATCAATGAGAGATTGTTAGAGATTTTCTTATGATTACACGAATCTTGATATAAATAGTTTGAACCGACAGAATTTTTTTTTCTTATCATTGCTCTAAAGCTTATGAAGATTTAAGAGATTTATTTGTAATCAACCTAAACCCTTTAATATTTTTTTAATAATGAAATTGATTCAATAATCTCATTCTTAACTATTATTAGTTTAAATACTATTTGTTTTTAAGCTTCAAAAGTATTTAAAAAAATAATTTTTTTTATTTTTCTCACTTCCAATTAATTTTTTATATTTTTAGATTATTTTAATACACTAACATTAAAAATAATTTTTTAAAATAAAAAATATATTTTTTAAAAATCCTAAACTTCGAATTAACAGAAGTATTTTATTCAAGCCCCACAGTGTCTAGTTTGTGCCATTTTGTTTAATTAATAATAATCAATTAAAATAATTAAATTATTTAAACTCCAAGGATCACATCCTTCGCTGGCTTTGTAATAACACAACAGCCAACCAGGATTAAAAAACTTCTACGAGTCTTCACTTCAGTCAATGTCTTTTGTCTTCCTACCATAGCCCACAGAATTCCCCAGTTTGCCCCATCCTCCTCCTCCCTCCTTCCACACCTTCTCATATCCAACCTTGAAGAAATCACACCAGAGCCAAAATGGGTTGCCATTTCATTCCTCTACTTCTCACCCTACTCTTATGCTCTACACTCCCCACAAAATCTTCATCCCAAACCTTCAAGTGTAGCTCACCTTCCACTTCCACATGTCGTTCCCTCATTGACTACATCTCTCCAAACACAACAACTCTTTCCCAAATCAAAACCCTCTTTTCCATCAAAAACGTTCGTTCCATCTTAGGCGCGAACAACTTCCCTCTCTCCACGTTACCAAACTTTACAATACCTGCAAAACAGCCCATCAAGATCCCATTTACTTGCTTGTGCATCAACAACACTGGTCTTTCAAACAAGCAACCAATCTACACCGTCCAAAAAGATGACGGGCTTTATCATATAGCAGCAGAAGTTTTCTCAGGGCTGGTAACATACCAAGAAATTGCTGCTGTTAATAATGTAACAGACGTTAATTTGATCAAGGTTGGACAGAAGCTGTGGATTCCTTTGCCTTGTAGCTGTGATGATGTTGATGGGGTTAAAGTGGTCCATTATGGACACGTGGTGGAAGCTGGGAGTTCTTTGGAGTTAATTGCTCAGGAATACGGGACTAGTAGAAATACACTAATGAAGCTTAATGGGATTGCCAATGGCAGCTCTCTTTTGGCTGGTCAAGTGCTTGATGTCCCTCTCCAAGGCCAGTTAATCTAATTTCAGCCTTTGATGCATCATTTAATTTTTATTTTTAGGTATTCTCGTGACAGCTTTCGTTATTAGTCTCTAATTCTAATCTAGTCAAAATCAAACCATTCATTATCCCACACGTTCTTAGTACTTGTGGACATATTTGATGGAGAACATTCAGGTAGCTCTAAGTGGTTCATCGATTGACTGATTAGATGCCAAGTTTTTTCAAAAGGAAGTGGTTGAAGTAGTGGGCATATACTATATGTTTTTGGGAGTTTAGGTGAGGATATTTTTTAAAGATTTTTTATTTTTTTATAAAAATATTAAAATAATATTTTTTAAATTTATTTCTTATATCATAAATCAAAACTATTTAAAAATATATATAAAAATAATTTGAAATAAAAAAAATTCAAATTCTTTTAAAAACACGGTTGTATGGAAATGTCGAAAACCATCATTGTAAAATTGAGTTTTGCTTTCCTAGTGGATATTTTTTTTCCTAGTGGTAGTGAGTTGGAAATGGTAGAAAGTGGGAAATCATTAATGTTACCCGATAGAAAAGGCACCATGTCACACCGTGTGGCTTGGCATTATCTACAAATAAATAGCTGTGAGCCAGTCTCGTCAATTTATTGAAGTTTGTATGGTCCCCCGCCTTGCTTGTTTGCTGCCTTTCCTGCCCACTGATTAAGCTGTGCACAGTTCTGTAGATGTAGATAATAATCTGCGGGTCTTTTGTTTCATACGACATGTTAGTCTTCTTGGCTCATTATGTTTCCTAAAAGATATGTCCTGCCATCCTGTGCAATATGTGTTGACACTTCTGCTGGGAATCAATCCTTTGATAGTGCTAGGCAATGTGCAATGGCTTTGTGGTTTGATTCTTTATGCTGTAAGGATATTTGATTCCTATTTTCCTACTCTATCCCTTGGAAAGCTAGGGAGTGGATCGAATCCGAGACTTCTTAGTGAGAGGGGTCCACGGGACGGATGCCAGTTGAGCGACAACCTACAGGCTCATTGGCATTAAACGTGCAATAATATTTCTAACTTAGCAATAAGTGATCAAATATTTCTATTTGCGAAACATTTTTAGGAATGTGTTTTTGTGCATTTGAATTTCAAGTTGGAGATTAATGGCAGTTTTTAGCAGCTGATCCTCATGAGCTTATTGTTGTTTCCTACTGTTAAGTTTCAGGATTCATTTTGGACTAATTATTGGGTGTATGTATCATGACTAAATTATTCACTACAAAATTCCGTGACAGTGCACTGCTCTTTCTTGATCTTGTAGCTGTCTTCAAATGTTCGTGTTACTCATTAATGTAGTTATCCGAACTAATAATGTTCTAATCATGCCAATTTACAGCTTGTAATTCATCGGTGAGAAGTGACTCTGTGGATTCTCCATTCCTTGTTCCTAATAACACCTATTTTTTCACTGCTAACAATTGTGTGAAATGCAATTGTGATGCCGCAAACAACTGGACGTAAGTTTGATGTGCAAATAGCTTTGTTGTATTGAAATACTTACTCAAGTGGATATTGTGGGGATTCTTGATTTGGTATAATTCCTTTTCTCTTATTCTCCAGATTACAATGCGAACCGTCCGGAAATAAACCATCCAGTTGGTCAACTTGTCCTGCTATGCAATGTGAAGGTGGCTTGTTAACAATCGGCAACACTAGAACTTCTGGTTGCAACACCACAACCTGTGCCTATGCCGGTTTTAGCACGGATCAAAACATCTCAACAACTCTAGCCACACAGTCTACTTGTCCAGTTACCACAGGTAATTGCTCACAATAACACTCTTTACTATAGTAACAAACAGCTTGATATGGTATTCTTTGAGGGTTGGATTAACGTGATGATTGGGAACTTACTACATTGTCTATTGATGGTGGACAAAACAGGTCCCGGCGCAAGTCCTGGCAATTTCGCTTCAAGGATTGGTCTGAGTAGGAACTACTTGTTCATCTATATTCACATGATTCTGCTTCTTGTATATCTTCTTTAATTAGTACGAAACGGTGCTTCTCCCTGGTTGTTTTCTTTTTTTGGTTTATTAAGGGGATGTAAGAATACAATTTCTTGATGTGGGGTCATATGAGTAATCATTTATTCAACAAATAAAGAATGATGAAGGCATTGCTAGCTTTAGATTCTTCAGCTTACAGAGTTGAATCTTAGCTTAAGGCATTGTTTTTATCACTAGCTGCTGCTCGTTTGCATTAATGCTTGACAAATGCTGGAATTGAATTGGGCCACCAAGAAATAGCATTAGCTAGTGGTTTTGCCACTGCTGAGAGTGAACAAGAAGAGAAAGAGGCGACTTCAAGAGCCCATAGCGTTGCGTTCCACGCCGAGGGATGGGATCGCTTGGGGTTTGAGTTTTTCTGTTTTTTGTAATATTTATTTATTATAAACGTTATTAATTCACGTGTAGTAAATACGATCATTTTAATATTTAATTAATATTAAATTACCATTTGACAAAAAAAATATTATTTTACAATTATATAGATTAGGTCGGGTACTGGTTAAAACAGGAAACATATTTATCCAATTAATTGAACTAAGCATAATTATTAAATTCAGCTAGGTGATTTGAAAAACTCTTAACTCAGAGCTTGATCTAGATTAAGTTTCACATTAATTTAAAAAATATATTAATCTATTCAAATTTAATAGAACCGGTCAAATATTTTTTTTTTAAGACAAAACTATAGTATTTTAATTGCAGAGATTAATCCGGTTTTATCAATAATTCAATGACTCAGACCCATTTCCCGCGTCAATCCTCGAATTAGGTAACACATCTATTAGGACAGGTATCTACATAGTGGGCCCAATTGTCATCTCTAGGAAAAGCCCATGTAAACCATAAAAAAAGCCCATAAAAAGAACAGCAGCTTAACTAGTACGGCCACTATTTTATAGCATATATAAACACCGATCTTTTCGTAAGTTTCAGTTCAGTTTTCAGCACATAAGACCGAGTGACAGGCACTTCGGTCATGGCGACGTTGAGAAACCACGTAAGTTGTCAAGGATGTCTTCTCTTGTTTTTATCTCTTAAAAAAACCCAAAAAACCCTAACTAGGAAAGGTAAAGCCTTTTTTCTCATCTGTTCTTCTTTTCTTGTTATTCTATCTGACTATCATTTTCCATAACTTCCTTCCGTATCCTTTTGGTCGAAACCAAAGGAAAATTTCTCCAAAATTTCACTTCTTTGAATCAAATTCCCTTTCTTTATGTAATTCTATGGCGAAAAGTTAGTTTCTTTGTGCCCTTTTGTGTATAATTTCATTTCCTTGATCATTTTGTTTTTTGTACTCTGTTTTCGTACTCCATCTTTGTTTTTCTGTACTCTGTTTTTGTTTTCATAAACCCAGTAAGAATCTTGTTATTTTTTGATAAACTTCAGAATAATAATACTTTTGAATGGAAATAAGAACTACGTGTTTAATTTTTAAAATTTGGGAGTCATTTTTGTCTTCTTGCTGTTGCAGTGATATAGAGGAGTTAATGATCTGTTATTGAAGTTTAGAGGAAGAATTAATTTGCTGATAATGACTAGTACTCGAAAATTCAGTGGCAACACACTTGGTAGTGGATTGACAAGTAGAAGTAGTAGTGAGCAGAGTAAATTAACAAATGTAAAGAGGCAACTTTGTTTGCCGAGTCAAAATGAAGTTCCTAAAAGTTTGGGGGGCGGGGATGCTGCGTCGAGAAAGTGTCATTTGTGTGCCGAGCAGATGACTTGTTTGTTGCCTCTGGTGATCAGACGCAGGAAGACGCGGTTTGGGGTGGTTTATAGTCAGTCAAGTTCTGGGTATGGTGTGGATTCCACTGGTGTGCAGGAGAGATTAATTTTAGAAGAAGAAGAGCGCGACATCGTTAATGGTTCGAGAGATGAAGAAATGTAAGATCAAAATTCCATCTTTTCACTAGTTTGATTATTTTTTTGTGCTGAAAATGAAGAGATTCTTTAATTTAGTATTGGTGGTGGGGTTTCATGAATGATGATGTTGTAAAAGTCTGCAAATTGGCTGGTTTAAGAATGTCATTATTGTAAAATTCATGAACTTTTTGAAGCAAGATATTTTGTACTTTCCTTTTCTTTTGTATTGGAGACAAATTAGTTATAATCATGCATCGTAGGTTACAAATATCATCAAAATAGAAGAAGCATTGAGATTTAAAATTTTTTTCCGTGAAATAAAACTATGTAATATGCTTTCTGCCTTCTAGGATTGGTAATGTTCCTTTGGAAATTCTAGGATTATTCATATGTGCTGGTACTTGTATTCTTGATTTTGTTGCAGTGAGTCAACCGGGGTTCCAATCAATCTACCACATTCTTCAGATGTCAAACATGAGCTTATAATGCTTTCTTTGCCTGCAATTGCTGGACAGGCTATTGATCCCTTTGCCCAGTTGATGGAGACAGCTTTTATTGGCAGATTAGGTATTGATCTGCCCTTGCATTTATAGCTTTCTTTATGTATTTATGCTTCATCCCTGATTACTGATCTGTTTAACTTTTTCCCTACTCTTTCTTTCTTAGGTCCTGTAGAGTTGGGTTCTGCTGGTGTTTCTGTTATGATCTTTAACAATATATCAAAGCTATTCAATATTCCTCTTCTAAGTGTTGCAACATCTTTTGTTGCTGAAGACATTGCAAAGAATGCAACCAAAGATACTAATTCAGGTATAAATTTATACCGGCACTTGATGTTATGAATGTCATTTTGAACACAGGCCTCATCACAGTACAGCAAGTACTGACTGATGATTTTATATGATTATATTTATATGGATGGCTTGTTTTACAGAAAAGGGCATTCAGGAAGAAAACAGTAATAATGGTAAACCTATTGGGGTGGTTGAAAGAAAGCAACTATCCTCTGTGTCCACTGCTTTACTATTAGCTATTGGGATTGGAATCTTTGAGGCTGTAGCTTTGTCTCTGGGATGTGGATCATTTCTTAACTTGATGGGCATAACAGTGGTAAGTTTTAAATAAATTAAATTCATGTGCCATTTCGTTTAATTATGAGCATCTTTCTCTGCACCCATCTTGAGCTTCCGATCAAGACTCACTAAAACTAGCGATTTGTCATGTTACCTCCATTTGTATGTTACTAGATCGATCATTTATGGAGAGAGTTATCCAGCGTTTATCATATTTTGAACAGGGTTCACCAATGCGCATTCCTGCAGAACGATTTCTTTCACTGAGAGCCTTTGGTGCTCCTGCTGTTGTAGTTTCCTTGGCTCTGCAAGGCATTTTTCGTGGCTTCAAGGATACTAAAACTCCTGTTTTTTGTCTTGGTAAGCGCTTAATTTCACTGTTGATTTTCTCACTAAATCTTGATTTAATCTGTGGCACTTTAACTGTTTGGAGGGCAAGAGAAATTCTTATGATGAATGCTTGGAATGATATTGTTACTTGTTCAATCTCTTTCTTTTTGCTGTCTCAGCAGTTAATCTAGAATGGCATACTCTTTTCTGTCTCTTCCAATTGTTAATGTAGTTCTTCCACATGCAGGTTTGGGTAATTTATCAGCTATATTTTTGTTTCCCACACTCATGTATTATCTTAAGTTGGGGGTCACTGGGGCGGCTATTTCCACAGTAGTTTCGCAGTATGTTCTCTATGCTCTCCAAGCATTAATATTCTTCTTCAGTTATGGTATTTTGATACATGTTTAACAATAATTGATATTTTATGTTCTAGATACCTTGTTACTATTTTGATGGTTTGGCAGCTAAATAAGAGGGTTATATTATTACCTCCAAAGATTGGAGAACTCCAATTTGGCGTCTACATGAAATCTGGTGAGTTTTTTCCTTAAATTAATATAAAGAAACTAACCAAATGAGACATCAACTGCTATTGAGTTAAGTTGCTTACCGTTCTCTACTTCATGCCTATATATTACTATACTTTTATCTTGTTTTGCTGAGGTTCCTTTTTATCTTATAGGTGGCTTTCTTATTGGAAGAACTCTTGCTGTTTTAATGACCATGACATTGGCAACATCAATGGCAGCTCGTCAAGGTGTGGTAGCAATGGCTGCACATCAGATATGTATGCAGATATGGTTGGCTGTATCTCTTCTCACAGATGCATTCGCTGGATCTGGTCAAGTACTTATCACCACAACTTATATCTACTTGTTTATACTCTATTATCCATTCTAGCTCCTTATTTTCCCCTAAAAGAAGTTCCTCATTTTTTAAAATTCTAAAAATGGGCGAAGCAGTATAGATTCATTTGAATTGCAATCATCCAAAGGTATATTTGTGTTTAAAGCGTTAATAACAGAAATATAGCTGATAGGTTAGTACTAAAGGGAATATGTGTATCCAAAAGAATTGCTTATGAACTAATTCCTTATTGTGCATATGGAAGTTTTGCATTTCCAAAAAGTTGATGTGAACTTCCATTTGACCTGTAATTTTTAGTTCCCTTCCCCATCAAATATCTAGCCAGTGATTCAACACATTATTTCTTGAACTTTTGATGCCTGATTTTTCTGTTTTGTAGGCTCTAATTGCAAGTTACTCATCAGAAGGTGACTACATGACTGTGAAAGAAGTCACAAACTTTGTTTTAAAGGTGGGCTTTCCTTTCCTTTTGTTCTGAGTTTATATCTTGGGATAACTATTTTCTCAATTTGCTTATAGCTCAATGCACATGTTTTCCTAGATTGGACTAGTTGTGGGTGTTTTCTTGGCTGTGATTCTGGGTGTATCTTTTGGTTCCATAGCCACCTTGTTTACCAAGGATGCTGATGTATTAAGAATTGTGAGAACTGGGATATTGGTATGTATGCCTATCTATATTGGTGCATTTTATATGGTTTTATTTATCTCACTGCTCCATATTTGTAGTAATTTGATTTCAAAATTTTTCAGTTTGTTAGTGCTAGCCAACCTATCAATTCCCTAGCTTTTATTTTTGATGGTCTACATTATGGTGTTTCTGACTTTCCATATGCAGCGAAATCTATGGTAAGCTGCAACTCTGTAATTTCCTTTTCTTTCCCCAAACATCCATATTTTGTGTTAATCTTCTGCCTGGTAAATGATCTACAGATGTTGGTTGGATTAGTATCATCTGCCTTTCTGCTCTATGCTCCACCAATTATGGGGCTCCCTGGGGTTTGGTCTGGTTTGGCTCTCTTTATGGGCTTGCGTACAGTGGCAGGATATATGAGGTAAGGTGAACGACATTTGGTGAATTATTTTGTTTCCATGAACAAAGACCGAGTTTGCATCTATAATTTTGGTTTAGGGATGATAAACAACTACTTTTTTTCTGTGCTTTCTTGATCTTGTAGTTGTCTTCAAACCTATCCTATCCTTGTGCCCCAAGCATGTTTTTGCTCAGTGCTATTTTTCTATATATACATACACATAATTTTGTTTCCATGAACAAAGACCGAGTTTGCATCTATAATTTTGGTTTAGGGATGATAAACAACTACTTTTTTTCTGTGCTTTCTTGATCTTGTAGTTGTCTTCAAACCTATCCTATGCTTATGCCCAAAGCATGTTTTTTCTCAGTGCTATTTTTCTATATATACATGCACATATTTCTTCATCCTAACTGTGTATTTATTTGTGTTTTCAGATTACTATCAAAATCTGGTCCATGGTGGTTCATGCATGAGGATTTGGAGGCTGTTCAGGTTGGCTAGTGTTCAGGATACGGGTAACCCTTTTTCCTGTTTAATTTCCCCTCGCTGTAATTATTTAGTTGCTTAGTTTTGATTTCCACTAGACTTAATTCTGCCAGAAAATTCTTAACCAGGCAATTTAGCCTTCAGAAAGGCAACGTACAATAATAAAAAGGGAGGACAAAAACAGAACTTCAGATGTTGGATTAATGTCCAGGTAGTGCAGGTAAAGAGTTATGATACAGGGTAGACCAACATTGCTTGCTTCTTTATTGATGTGAAGGTCATTGTTTTACACTGCTGATTAAAGAACCACATTGAATAGCAATTTTGACTCAAAAGTTGTTTTGTTTCCCCTAACCTTAATTCACTGATGATCAAGAAGTTTCAGTAAAAAAAGGAAAAAAACATTCAAATCATGCACCTGTTGGGTATTGCACACTGTATTGAGTAGAGATAATTGGTTATTTTTCATCTGCTTTATTTTTCTTGCGATTCAATGCTTGTTTCAGATTTAACCATTTCTTTTTGAGCTTGCTAATTGAGCTTGTAAGAAGCTCCAATCAATCGCAGGATAGTTGGAGTAATGCACGGCTTGAGAAAATTTTCAGCTGTCTCTTGAGGCTATGATTTATTCTCATGGCCAACAATTTTTGATTATTTAGTTTATCCTTGGATATACTGAACAAAGCTGGAAAAAATCCCCCATTTTGTAGAAGATATTTAGTTATTCGATGATTATTAATCATTGATTCGTAAAAAAAATCTGAATCGACATTTAGATTCCTGCTTCCAGTGCTTTCCTGACCTGGAGTTGATCAAAATGATGATATGAATTTTATTTTATTTTTAAATCAAACAAGGTTTTAACCAAGTTGCAAGATGATTTGTCAGGTTGATGCAGGCCACGGGGTAGCTTAGCCAGGTATAGGTTTAACTACTGGCCAGTTTAATAACTGCTGCAAGTAAGCTGTTCGGTAATCATTATCCTTTTATAGAAATCTTTGGAGTAGTCTAGGATTTTTACCTAAAATAGACCGTCTTACGAGCATCATAAACAGGACAAGCCTTGCTTTGTAGACAAAGGAGGATAATCGACAACACCACAACGCCTTCATGTTTTACAAGAAAAATATTTTTCTGAAAAATGTATCGTGTTTCATTATTTGGCTATGTTGATACAATTTGCTGGGAAGCAATTGTTTAGTTTTGGTTTATATAAAAATAAGTGTGCGAAAGAAAAACACTAACGAATTAGTGGTGGGATCCCAGGAACCGCAAGTTGTTTTTATTTATTTATTTATTGTTGTGGGATCCCAGGAACCGCAAGTTGTTTTTTTATTTTTTATTATTATTTATTTATTGTTTGTGTCTTTTTTTATTATAATTTTTTTTTATCACCAAGTTTTCTGAAATGAACCAAACATGAGAAAATGAAAAAATAAAATAAAATTTAGAAGCATAGTTTACGTGAAACTAATTTTGTCCTTGAAAATTTACTGAATCACTTATTTAGTCGAGCGTAAATCTCACTCGAGATGGAAAATTCTGAGATCATCAGATGGATGGTCATGCATCATCACCTGGAATAGTCTGCTGGTCCGTAATGTTCAAACAATTCAGCAGAGAGGCCCTTCTTTCTCTTAGGGCTTCATCCCATGTCTTTGCACATTCGATCATTCTACCATATATGAAGGGCACTGATGCATGATCAACCAACAGGAATATTGCTTCATAGATTGATCTCATTTTTCGGCATTATTTTCTCTCTTCCATGCAAGGTATCTTGAATGTGCCATCAAGAAGCTCTGCCAGCCACCGGCATCTCTTCTCTGAGGTGTGCGAGGTTGCAACACTTTCTGAGAATCCAATCACTGAAAGCTGTGGAATTTGCGGATGAATGCGCCCTGCGTGTTTTACAAATCACACAATATTAGTCCTGTAATATTCTCGGTTCAATAAGGCCACAAAAAATGGTTAAATTTAATGTTTGATCATCAACGTGGATCCGTACTTCTTTTGGGTCAGTTGTAAGGGGACATTGCGTCCAGAAGTTATTGTCTCTCTAAATGTAATGCCATCAACACGTATTGCAACCTAACAGTACTCTTTCCTGCAATCCATACAAGGAATCACTGGATCGGGATCGGGATCGGGATCTCAAATATCCAGTCCTATTATTCCTTAGAAATTGAGAGAGAAAAAGAGGTTTTAAATGTTGTTCATCCTACAGTAATGATCGGTTTCTACTTAACATAAAAAGACAAAAGAAAATCAACTTTTGTTGATAGAATAACAGCTTTAAAAATTAGATTGAAAGAAATTATATAAACTTCATTCAAAAACAAACTGATAGACATCTTTTGGGTATAAAAAGAAACATTATTTCAAACAAACTGATAGTCATCTTTTTGATAGACATCTTTTTTTTTTTTGGGTATTTCAACCAGTACGATTTTTCGTTCATCCTAGTAGTCCATATGCAAACTACTGTGTAAAATGCTCCCAGATACATTGCTGTATCCATTCTGCATGCTAAGGCCTCTCCATGTCTCTAAGGTGAGACATAATCTGCAGGTCCATAAGGCTCAAACAATTCAGCAAAGAATCCCTGCTTTCTCTTTGGGTTCCATCCCATGTCTTTGCACAGTTGATCATTATACCATATATGAAGGGCACCGATGCATGATCTGCGGTAATATCGACCAGAATATTGCTTCAGATATTGGTCCCATTTTTCAGCATCTTTTTCCATCGTCTTTATGCTAGGTAACTTGAATGTGCTATCAAGAAGCTCTGCTATCCACCGGCATCTCATTTCTGAAGTGTACAAGTTCGCAACACTTTCTGAGAATCCAATCACTGCTAGCTGTGGAATTCGCGGATGAATGCATTCCCTGAAGAATAAAAACTCCCTAAGAAATTTTGGTCCTTGTACAATTTACATACCATGAAACTTACCTACTTTTCCTGTTCTACAGGTAAAAAAATATAGTCGTTTAGAGAGGAAAGGAAAAAACTATAGTAACCTGCAGAGAGGAACTGCTGAATCAGGGGACCCAAGTATGCAATCTTGAAACATTTTGGACTCAAAAATGTCTTTGAGCTTCTTTTCACCTTTAAATCCTGTAGCTAATATGACCAAGTCGGTCTCTAGTGTCGTATCCTCACCTTGAACTTTAATGCCTTCTTTGCAGAAGCTAAAACTGGGAGCTTTCTTCAGTATGATGCTTCCCTCTTCAACTTTATCATAGAATCCTTGTGGAACTGTTGCAATCAAACAAGAATTAAGTTCTTGAAGGAAACTATGCTTTGGAACCATTCCAAACTTTGCCAAACGGAGCTTCTTCTTGATATCGCTTTCGACGAATTTTGAAAATGCCAATCTCTGTGAATTTATTACAGATAAATCAGTCCAGTAGGACAACAAACTTTATGGTATAAAGCAAACGGAAATTTACCAGAGGTGCAAGAATTGTTGCCAGCAGACTGAGTAGTAATCCTTCACCAGGCTTATGAACCATGAGCTCCGAGAAGCGGTTGAGATACAAATAAGGTAAGGGCACTCCCCATGGATTGTAATCAGGGACGTGCCAATGTTCAGTCCTGTATAAAACTCTGCAAGGATGTTCAACCCCTGCATATATAATGATAATAATGACCACAAGATAAAAAATTTCTGTGCCAAATCTCAATAGAACTCGTACTATTTTTGCTACCATTTGCTATAGAGCACTCCATTGCAATATCCATTGCAAATTTTTGGAACCCCACGACAGTAACTCGCTTGCCTCTTACAAAGTCTCTAGCAATTTCATAATCCATGTTGGCATAGTCCATAGAATGTATCACGTCACCATGGAATGCTTCCGGGCCCTTGTCAGGAGGGAATTCAGGAATGTTTGGAACATCACTGAACCGTCCAATGCAAAGAATCACAAAGTCCACTTGGTAAACCTGTGTTTTTGCTAAATATTAATTAGGATCGTAAGGTTTTAGGAAAGAGCATGACTGAATTACAATCACTTGATCAAAACTTGCCGAAACCATGCACTTAGATCATATCCCACGAAAAATATTGATGTAACTATCACTAACATTGTAGATAGGCATACCTCAGTTGAATGCTGGTTCTGTGTGTCCTGTGCTTCAACTATCCATTTCCCCCTTGAGCTGAAGGGCTCCCCATTTCCACCCCACAAGCTCCATGACTGCATCTCTTCATCGGATGCGCCTTGATACTTGATGCCAAGTACTTTAGTACTGAACTTGATGTGCTTAAGCAAGTCAAAATGATGTGCATATGACTGCAGGTAATCCAAGACTTGATATTGGTTCGGAAAGAGTTCCGTGACTGAATCTGGCCAGGGAAAATCTGAGAACTGATATGCTGGTTTCGGAGTCTGCAGCTTTGTAGTCTCTACTGTATTAATCCACACTCCTCCAATGCTGTTTCTTGCTTCAAAAACAATTGGATTAAAACCCTTTGAGACTGTGTATTTACAGGCGAGAAGGCCACTAACACCAGCTCCAATAATTGCTACCTGTTTCTCCATTGCTTCTTTTTTTCCCTTTCCTACAGCAGCTAGTCTCTTATGTACTTAAAGATCGATCGCAATAGAAGTTTCTCCATAATCTGCCAACCTTATCTACCTACTTCTACTTTCAGCCAATAAACTTGTTTGGCTTATCCACTTTTTTGTTTTTTCACTCGTTTTAGTTTTTTCTTTGTTGACAAGAATGAGTTGATTTGATGCCTTACTTGTTTCAGCATATTTTTTTTAATAGTTTTTATTCAATATCTTAAATATTTCATTATTATTCTATTTTAATTAAATTTAAATTTTAACAATTTAATAAATATCATGAATCACTATTTTTATTTTAATTACTGATGATAAATTTTGAATTATTATTTATTTTTATTAGTTTTAAAAATATAATATTTTAAAAAATTATAAAATAATACTTATTTTTAAATAATTTATTTTTTTGTTACGTTCATTCTGAGATTTAATATAAATTAATTGTTTTTACAACATTATTTTATCATTGCCAGTCATGAGATTCGGGTAATGACAAAACTTCGTACATATCGATTAGGTCCCAAAATATGATCCACAAACTACCTGCATGCACAAAGTCCACGTACTATACATATATTGCATTTACCACAGCCTCTTTTTGGTAGAAGTTGTATGGAAGTGCAATTCTCCA